ACAGGGTAATGGAATACATGTGACATGAAAACAGAAGTGGGGGAATAAAGCAAACCATCCAGAGGGGGGAGGGCATGTGGGAAGGGTTTAATCAGAGTAAAACTTAAGAGTTATTGATACACTTAATTTTAATACTGATACACAGCATTACAATAAATCTCATACCAGTTTGTAGCAAACTATTTGTATTCAGGAATTTGAATTGTTATAATAATGGGAAATGAAATATTAAATATTAATGTACATTAAATATTAATATAATAATACAAGTGAAGATTTAAGTCTTGTGAGAATTAATTTATTAATACTTGGATATGGGGAGTGCAGTAATCAATTAACTTTCACTTATTTAAAACCATATGAGAACAGCCTGCACTTATCACAGTGCTGGATGTGGGATCAAAAGCATATGCTTATGAAAAGAGGCTCTAAGTTTTATTTTTCCTTCAAAAAGATTTCCTACTAGCCCACTCTCAGATTTATTTTAGGCGTGGGTTCACCCATTTTTTTGAACCAGGGATTTGGGGCATCTGCTTATTGATTATGGATGCTTGCCTTACAGTAAGTACTGTGGTCTCTGGGTCCTCACACCACAGGAGGCCAAAGTTGAGGCTTTGTCTGTTTTGAACTGCAATGAAAACATGGTGATCAGAGGAAGGTAAACAGGGTGAAAGGTTCCCACAGCCTCAGAGGTGCAGAAACATCTGGGACAGGAAGGAGACACCAAAACACTGAGCGTCACTGTTTACTGTCCCTACTTCATAGGGTCCAACTATTGATCACAGGTGAGTGCAAACTAGAGTACAGGCATGTGATCATCCGGAAGAAAACACACGTCAAAATACTTGTTTATGTCTCAGGGACAGGTGACCCATGGCTTCTGGGCTTCGTTTTGTTGCACTGTGTCCAGTCACATACCCAGGATCCTCTGCGTGGTATCTGCTGCACCAATTTCAAGGGTTTAGAGTCTGCAAGTAATTACACTGGAAAGGGGAGTTTGGGACAGAGAGCAGATCAGAGAGGGGAGGGTGGAGGGAACTCTTCAGTCAATTCTAGTTTAAGGAGGACATACTGTGTGCAGAGTTTTATAGCTTCCATGGATGTCTTACCAGCTATGTATTTTTCTCCTAATTTTAATATTTTTATTAGTTCTTTGAGAATTTTACACAACGTATTTTGATCATATTCACAATACTCTTCCCCGTCTCCTCTCAGATATACCCCTACCTTTGGATCCCCTCTTTTTTTTTTAATAACACATTTTGTGCTGGCCATATACTCATGGGCATGGAGCCATCCAGTGGAGTGTGGCTCAACCTGGTAGTGGCCACACCCTTACAGAAAACTGACTCTTCTTCCCCCAGAAGCCACTAACTGTCTGTAGCTCTTCAGATGGGGATGGGAGCTCATAAGTCCCTCCACCCTCCCTCTGTATCAGTTACATATTTTATGTATTGTTTCTATTTCATTTCCAGACACCAGGATGTGAACTCACCAAAGGAGGGGTCTGTGCCTACTTTATTGACAGCTGTCACAACCCCTAGAGGAGTGTCTCTAGCTGGGCTTGTAATTCTAACAATCAGGAGGATTGCTGCAAGTTCAAGGCCAAGACCTTGTCAGAGAAGAAAACCAAGAAAGTGAGAGGAAGAAGAGAAGGAAGAGAACAAGGAGTGCGGTGGTGATATGGTTTGTTGGCACATGGTTAGCATACAAGAAATGTTGGATGAACAAAGGCACGTGCTGGGCTCTGGGAAAACAATGTGAGCAGGTTTTCCTGTTTTAATGTTCACAGCAGCATGAGTAGGCACTGACATCACCCCATCCTACAGCTGAGGAAACCGCAGCTCAGAGAGAGCACATAAGCTGCAATAACAGCAGCACCTTCTGTTTTAATAGTTCTACCTGGGTAGAAACTCAAGCCTTCTTTCAGGTTTTCGGTTCAGATAAAATGTCCTACATTGGAGCTGGAGAGATGGCTCAGCAGTTAAGAGCACTGACTGTTCTTGCAGAACACTGGGGTTTGAATCCCAGCACCCACATGGTGGCTGTCAACCATCGGTAACTCCAGTACCAGGGGATCTGACACCCTATTCCGTCCTCCTTGGGCATTGAAAAAGATGGGTGCACTTATATACATGCACCCATGTATATAAAATAAAATAAATGAGTTATAAAGATCAATTTAGGCAGTGGTGATGATGGTGGTGGTGATAATGGTGATGATAATCATAGTGTTGCTGATTTTTTGGTTGAGGTCATGGTGATGATGATGGTGGTGGTGGTGATGATGGTGATGATGGTAATGTTACTGGTAATTTTGTTGAGCTCATGGTGTGGTGGTGATGGTGAAGGAAGTGATTGGTGATATGGTTGTTTTGCTGTGGAGTTCTTTGCACCACAAAACCTTAAGGGACTCCAATATGTAAAAGATGTAAAAATTCAGCTTCTCAGGTAAATTTGTTGCAGAGGGCCAAGGGCCATGCTTTCAGCTCCTGTCAGCCCAGGGGCTCCTAGGGGAGATTTTTGGAAAACAACTACTTCAGGCAGACAGGATGGTGATGTGTGTGACGTCAGATATGAGTAGAAAGACATTTGCTCCATACCTGGTGTGTGTACATGAGTGGCATCAAAACAGGGGTGGGTAAGATTCCTCTACCAGGGTACCAGAAGATTGAAGGATGGTATTGCTGCATAGCCACAGCAAGCTGGAAGAAGAAAGGATGGATGTGAAGGACACTGACTGACAAGAACAGAGATCAAGTGGCCAATGGCAGCCAAGAGGGAAGAAGTTATAATGAAGCTAGGTAGCGCAAGGACAAATGAGCAGCTGCTTTTAATTTTTTTAATTAGTTTTAGATTGTAGTAAAATATACAAGACATAATATTTGTATTTGGTTTCAAATTTTCCTGGAGCTGCTCAGCATTTTGAAAGTAGTTTGTAGATGTTAAAGGTCTTAGAACATTTAGGGCAGTTCATCACAACAAAGACTAACTGCTCAAAATGCCAATGGCTGTCTCATTTGGCACTCCAATCATGTGATGATGTCAAGAACCCCTGTCTTTCTTTGCGGTACTAGGGATTGAACTCAGGACCTCTCACATGCTAGCCAAGCACTCCATTACTGAGCTACATCCCCAGTCCATTTTGCATGTTTTTATTTTGAGACAGGGTCTAACCAAATTGCCCACATTGGACTTGAACTCACTCTGAAGACCCAGCAGCCTTTGAACTTGCAATCTTCTTGCATCAGCCTCCCAAGTAGCTGGCATTTCAAGCCTGAGTCACCAGCCCCAGCCCTTCTTTTTATAAAGACATGAATGCTATCATAAAGGCTCTCTCCTCATGACTATATCCTATCTTAATTTCCTCTCCAAAACTGGACCTCCAAAAGCTACTACCAGTCAGGTATAGTGGTCAACACCTATAATCCTAGCATTTAGAAGGTAGAGACAAAAGGATCAGGAGTTAAAGGTCATTCTCAAAGTCCATAGTGAGTTTCAGACCAGCCTGGGCTACATGAGACCCTACCTAAAAAGCAAAAGAAAACAAAATACTAGGGACTAAGACATGCTCAGTGGGTCAAGTCCTAATTGTGATCATGAAGACTTGAGTTCAGATCCCCAGCACCATAAAAAGCCAGGCACAGTGGTGCATGTCTATAACCCAAGCTTTGGGAGACAGAGACAGGAGGATCCCAGAGGCTTGAGTGACCAGCCAGTCTAGCCAAGCTTGCAAGCTGCAGGTTCAGTGAGAGACACTGTCTCAAAAAATAAGGTGGAGAGTGATTAAGGAAGACACCCGATACTGATCTTTGGCCTCCATACATGCATGCACAGGCACACACACACACAGAGGCAACACACATACATGCACACTAATGCTAAAAAACCAAACTAAAAATAAAAAACCACCAACATAATTTTCGCACTCAAGTCATAACCTTTGGGAGAACATATTAAAACCATACCACTGGACAACTAGAAGAATCCATTTCCCCTCTCCACACCCCCAAGACCTATTACTGGGCACAATGATAATCCCAGTTCCCTGAGGCTATGTGAGAGGGTAAAAAAAAAATGAGCATTTAGGGGCTGGGGAGATAGCTCAGTGGGTAAAGCACTTGCCAGGCAAGCACAAGAGTTCAGATCCCCAGCACTCACATAAAAGCCAGTTGGGCATAACAGCCTGCCTGTAATCCCAGCACACAGGCGGTGGAGATGGGATTCCCAGAGTAAGATGGCTAGGTAGACTAGCTGAATTGGGGAGCTTTGGGTTCAATAAGAGATGCTGCTTCAATATACAAAGTGGAGAGCAATCAAGGAAGACATTCAATGTCAACCTTGGGCCTCCACATGCAAGTGTACATATCTGCAAACATACCTGCACATACATGTACTCAGAGACGGGGAGGTATTTAATGCATGTGCATGGTGACCAGTGGGTGTTAGCTGTACTAGACACCATTCAAATCCTAGCTCTTTGGGGTTGGCTTGAATGTCTTTGGTTAGACAGCTCATTTGAATCTTTCTTGGCTTTATTTTCTGAAGTCTTAATTGGTCCCTCAGTTCTATCATAAGGTGGGCATGTGACAGAAAAATTATCCAAGCAAGAAGGGTCATTGCAGGTTTATTCTCTTGTCTTATTTCAGTGGATTGATAATCAGGGTCTAAAGAATTGTAGAATTTGAACTCCTCAGGTTATAAAGATTTTTTTCTAGAAGTTTCCATTGCTTCATTTAAGCATCTGAAAAATCACTGTGATTTTAACTTAGGCAAGCTAGTCTGTTTCAAAAACTTAAAGAAAAGCTACATAAATTATTTCTAAAATGCTTCTGCTTTTTAAAAATACTAAAAATTCAAATATTAAAAACATTGTGTTAAGTAGGACAAAAAAAAAAATAAGACTTTACTGTCTTGGGATATGACTGGGCCTGAGAATTTAACTTACAAAAGACAGATTAACAGGAGAGCAGCATATAATCTTTATTTAATGCCAGTATTTTTATGTGTACTCAGAGGTCTTTATATATAAGAAATGAAGGACTAGAGAAGCGGATGGACCTAGAGCTTCTGCGCTGTGGTGTGTGTGTGTGTGTGCGCGCGTGCACGCGTGCTCACCTTTGCATTCATGCATGTAGAGGCCTGAAGTTGACATTAGGTGTTTTCCTCAATTGCTGTCCACCACACATATTGAGCAGGTCTCTCGCTGAACCCAGTGTTCCCAGACAAATTCCAGCTCGTGCAGTTGCCAGCTTCTGGGGATCCTTTGTCCCTGCCTCCTGAGTGCTGGGATTACAGCAGCAGCCAGTCTTTTATGTGGGGCCTGGGGATCTGAACTCTAGTTTTCATGCTTGCATCACAAGTGATTTATCTACTGAGCTGTCTCTCCTGCCCCCAGGTATCATTTTAACAAAAACCGACAATGAATATGATAACCAAGTCTACACTGTCTTGACTATTTAGGTGGAATTCTTTATCTACCTTATTGTCACATAAAATGAAAAAACAGTGCTGCGTGAGAACAAGGTCAGAGGGAAGGTTGCAGTTCTCCAGATCAGTGTTGTTTCAAGGCTTTACCATTGCTCACACTGGGCTCTGTTTGCATGATTTCGTCCTCCATGCGCCCTGTCCATTTAGAAAAGGAGAACAGGTTGCGAAATCTCTGACAGATAGGCCCACGGTCCGGCTTTGGCAGCTGTAAGGCCTGGGGTGTCACTTGACCTAGTTAGTCCAGATTTTTGGTTTACTCACTCAGAACTTTTGCTGTGGGGCAGTGTAACCAGGTGAACAGCTGAACTGTCCCAGGGTGCACAAGAGTGGCCTGTGACCACTGAAGCATTTGGTGATTTGGTTTGAGAATACCAGTGCTGCTTCGGATCACAGAATGGGACTGTAACATTGCCTTGCTATGTGACATGGGAAGGGTCCAGCATCATTTTTGTTTTTAATGCAAAGGGGAACTTTTGTTTGCAGTGATTTCCTTTGCATCATTTGAGACTTCTTAGGCCAAGCCCCAGACTTAGCGAGCAGATGATCTCAGCTCCAGCCTTTTGGCTTCTGCAAACAGGAAAGAGAAAAGCTGAGCCCAGTGGAGTCATGCTTAACTTCCAGATTCATGAAGAACACAAATGCTGCAGGATTTTAAGAAGCAGCTATGTTTGGGATGACCCGTTATTCAACAATAGGCAACCAAAACGAGCTGCAAAGCTCTGAACCTCTGATGCTGGTGTAGTGATATATGCATTTGTAATTGTAGCACTCAGGAGGTAGAGGCAGTAAGATCACAAGTTCAAGGCCAGCTGTACTACGTAGCAAGCCACTTTCCCCTTAGAAAGAAAAGGACTAGGAATCTTCAGGAGCCCAGAGCAATATTTTAGCAGCTGAGACATGTGCTTAGAGTTGACCCAAACACATTTCTGTAGACTACATGTCTAAATTTCAAAAAGCTATTGTGCAGTTTGTGCCCTTTAGCTTGATTTACAATGGTGTTAGGTCCCAATAAGCCCACCATATGCTGAGAATATTGTAAGTGGAAACTACGTTGAGTGTACTTGATCCACTGCACACCAGCTCAGCAACAGGGTCTGCCTTAGGGCATCTGTTGTTTCCCCCGTAGTCTTCAGGTATACCGAAATTCAAAATCTGAACTGCAGTTTCTACTGACTGTACAACACTTCCACACAATCATGAAGTAGCAAAATTATTAGCTGAATCCTCTCTAAGTCAGAGACCATCTGTTCAACTTCAGGGAACCAGATCTTTGGAGCAGAGATTACCTGGCCCTGTCTCAGAGAGGAGGACTTCAGGGAGATGTCCCTGTGTTCCACCAGCCCTGCCAGAAGAGAGATGTGAGGTGGAAACCAGAGACCAGCCATGGCTCCTGCATCTTTAGGGAGGTGAGGCAGAAAATCCCCAATTACCTGTGAGCCCCGGGTGAGGTGCTCAAGGCTTCTGCTTTTAAAGTCTTTCCTTGGTTTCCAGGGAATGGCCCTTTTCTGCTTCCTGCTCATCTCCGTCCCTCCGCAGGCTCATCTGAAAAGCACAAATTTTGGAGCAGCATATTAATCTTCCACTAGCTTTGCTCTAGACAACACCTCTGAAGTATGGGTCATGAAAATAACAGTTGCTCTATGTACCTTTCAGGGTCTTGAAGTCCACTTTTATTAAAACCATTAAGTTTTTACTTGGGTTTGTCTGATGGGCCATCTACCAGTGGGCCAAAATCTCTGCCCTGGGATCATGCTGATGTCTCTTCTGAACATGTGTCTCATGAGGACCAGCTGTGCACTGCTTTCCCTCTAGTTACTTTTCCAAACCTCTTAAATCACTCTGCCTTATCCCATAAGCACCCATCCACCCTCTCCTCTGGGAGGTGGATTTGGGACCTAGCCAGCCTATGAGTAAACTCTCCTTTGAAAACTTATAACCTCAGCAATGACATAGTGCATAGAGGGGAGAATGGTCCTGGTTCTGTAACAGGTACATTTGGTCTTTGTTCCTAGTTGCTGGCACAGACCTCCCAAAACTCTTGGAATCTCTGAGAGGGAATTAGTAATTACTCATGTGGCTGCTGCTATTTTGTTCTAACCAAATCTGTTGTTTATAAAGTCTCTTTTGGTCACACCTGAGTTTATGCTAATGAGATGACTTAAACTGGGTCCACTAGACACCCAGAGGATCTGGTTACCAGAAAGAACTAGTGATTGGAAGACTGGAACTTTAGTGCCACAGCCTGACCTCAAGGAAGAGGAGTGGGGCTGCAGCCTGAGCACCTACATTCTAGAACAAGGTCTGTGGAGCTTCAGGTTGATGAGATGGAGGCGCTAGGAGGGCGGTGGCTTCTGTGGAAGCTTCACGCACACATGGACTTCGCTTTTTGTCTCTTACTTGGCTCTTCTAGTCGTATCCCATATAATAAATTATCCCATATAATAAAACCAAGCAGTTTGGTTTTCCTGAGTTCTATAAGTTGTCTTAGTGAGTGACCAACCTCCCTCCAGGAGGCATCCTGGGAACCTCTGCATTTTCATTTGGCCAAGTCAAAATGGTGATAGTCTGAGAACCTTATTTATATGTCTACATTTGGCATATGGAGAGGAGGTTGTCTTGTGGACTTGAACCTTTAACTTGTAGAATCTGACACCTGCTCTAGGTAAGAAGTGTCAAAATTGAATTGTTGAACACTCACTTGGAGAATAAAGAATTGATATTGGACAAGGCACTGTTTAATGTCAGAAAGAACCCAAGAACCCAGCTCAATCTGTCCCAATGAGGGGACTCAACAGGTCACCCCAGCCTCAAAATCTCTAAGAAAGACCTACCTTACCTTTAAACTACTTAATGCTGTATCATAATATATTAATGTTACAGGTAAAAACAATGTCCTCTTTTCCAAATCTAAAAGTTGCTCTGAGGGAAAACACCAGGTAGATCCGGGCTTCTTGTGAGCTCCAGTGCTAAGTTATGGAGCTCTACACTGGACACTTATTGATCAGAAGAAGATCCCAGCAAAGGGACCAGCAAGGCCCCTTCCTCCATCCACCTCCCCAGCTCAGGTGTGTGGGAAATAGAAGAAATCTCCCAACTGCCTGGGTCACATCAGCTGCTGGGCCAGGGCAGACCTTTCCAGCTCTCATGTGTTGTATGCAGAGTGAAAATAATAAAATTCATATTTCATAGTGTTTTACTGCAAATAAGATCACACATGATGAACCCTCAGCACTGGGGAGGGGTGGACAGCTAGTAGGTACTTAGTAAACACTAGCTGTTAATATGATCCTTGTTCACACCATTTAAAAAATTATTTTAATTTATTGAATTTTTGAGTATTTCATACAGAAAAATCATCTTTATACTGCCTTCCCCTTTGGCACCTCCCATAGCCCCCCCCCCTGGAGTTCATACATTCTGTCATTTGTGTTAAGGTCTATCATGTAAAGTTACAGTCCCCAGATCTCCCTCAGTGCACGTTCATCCACTGGGATCTAGTCAGCCTATCTAGAGTCTCTCCCTTTAAGAAAATCATCTCTTCCTCACCTAGCAGTAATCAGCTACCAGTAAATCTTCGACTAAGATTAGGGCCTACTGTTCATTTCCACAGTTCTGTGCTGGGTTTTTGTCTGCCTGTCTGCACGGGTCTTGTGCATGCTAGGTTTATATGAGCAGGGTCCCAGGAATATTTTGGTATGCTCATGCACCTCCTCCCTGGCTCTTGCAATCTTTCTGCCCCCTCTTCTGCAGTGGTAAAAATTACTTTATGTGTGTGTTTAGTCTGCATGTATGTAAGTGCACCATGTGTGTACAATGATTGTAGAGGTCAGAAGAGGGTGATGGCTTCCCTGGAACTGGAGTTACTGATGGTTGTTAGCCACCATTGTGAGTGCTGGAGACTGAATGCAGGTCCTTTGCAAGAGCAGCCAGTGCTCTTAACTGCTGAGCCAAATCTTCAGGCCCGCCCCTTACCATTTCTTTGACCGGTTCTCCCCAACATGCTTAAACTCTGGTGGACTTTAAATACTGCCAAACCATGCTTAGTAATTAAGACTCAGTTAAAAAGCTTAGGTAAGCTAGCTTTAATTTTTATTTCTTAATAACTAGATCAATGTTTCTAGAACCCCCAACTTTTTATATAAGTAACGGTATAGGCACACACATCCCTAAGAGTTAATTGGCTGTTACTAAATTATGGTCCCCAGAACCCAGCACCAGCCTCTCCCTATTAGAAATCCTCTCGGGCCCTAGCTGGGAACTCCTGAATCAGAGGATGAGGTGGAAGGCTGCGCTCTGTTTCCACAGGTGATTTTGATGTGCACTGATGTTTGATCAAGGCAGAGTTGGCCTTAAAGCAAAAACAAAACACACCAGTTTCGGAAGTCTCCAGTGCCTAGAGTTGGGCGCTTCTCCACTGCTCGTCCAGCCTGACTGGGCTTTGGTAGCTGCAAAGTTAGAGCTGTACTGTAGGGGTCTGGGGTCCTCCGGCCGCGACCTGCAGTCCTGGTTCAGTCAGGTCCCCACTCTTGACCAGCGAGAAGGCGCTACGGGTTTTGGCGGAGGATCCGGCCTCGGAGGGAAGTGCCAAAGCACAGGGCCGGTCTCCTTCCCTACCCAGATCTGCAGGCGGGACCAGGGGAGGGGCGGGACGTGCTCAGGGACCAGGCGCGAATGGCTTCCAGCGGCTCGGGTCTGGCCAGTGTTTGCCCCGGGGGTTCCCACCCTGTGCCGGCCCCAAGCCCACCAGCAAGGTCCCTGGGCAGGTAGGTGGGGCCTGCAGCCTGGGTCTCCTGACTTTCGGGAGCGAAGAGTGGCCTGCTTGTGGATCGGAGCCAGGCACGCCTGAGGTTGGGGGAGGCAGGATTTAAAGGAGGGGATGCACAGCATGCCTTCGGGTTCGCTAGCCTCGGGGTTTAGCTCTAAAAGGCACGCTTGCAGCGCGGACTCCCTAAGCCGTTGACAGCAGCAACGTCGCCGCGGGACGACCACAGACTCGGCGGGCCAACTTCTTGGGCTGGAAAACTTTGTCCCCGCTCTGGGCTCTGAAAGTTGAGCGCCAGCCCTCCATCCGAGCTGCCCCGGAGGTGGGACGGACGCGACACTGCTGGGAGGATGATCGGGGCTATCAACTAGCCTGCAACCTTCAAAAAGTCTCACTTTCCACCTGAGCCCTCGGAACTCGCTCCCAGGTGTGGTGGCGCTGCGCCTCCCCGCCCCTGGCCCTCCCCTCGGGAGCGGGGCCCAAGACAGGGCCCGCATCCTCCTCCCCCTCCGCCCCGGCAGCCGCAGCTAAAAGCTGGAGGCTCCAGGCTGGACCTGCGCTCTGCCCTCCAGCCTGGGCAGACGCGGCTGAGGTGGGCGAGCGCAGCCGCTGTGCACGTCTTCTGCTGCGTGAGCAGAGTAAGTTTCTAGCTGAGTCCTAAGCCGCAAGGCGCGTCCTGGGACCGGATGGTGTCATGGAACCCCCGGGGGAGCAGCTGCAAAGTTCCGAGGCGCCCAGATCTGTGCCCCCGGGAGAACCCGCGCTGTCGGTCCCAGAGGTCCTCTGCGTGGAGGGTAGCACCTCGGAGGCCCGGAGCCCTGAGTCTCAGCTCCGGGACCGGCCCCTGTCACCGCAGGAAGAGGCGGCTCTCCAGGAGCAGGAGGAGCTGCCGGAATGCCGCCGCCCCCGTGCGCGCTCCTTCTCCCTGCCAGCCGACCCGATCCTGCAGGCGGCCAAGCTCTTGCAGCAGCGGCAGCAGGCGGTGCAACCGGGCACCGAGGGCGGCAAGCCGGCCGGGGAGTGCTGTGCCAAGTGCAAGAAGCGTGTGCAGTTCGCCGACTCGCTGGGACTGAGCCTGGCCAGTGTAAAGCACTTCAGCGAGGCGGAGGAGCCGCAGGTGCCACCCGCCGTGCTGTCCCGTCTCCGCAGCTTTCCGATGCGCGCCGAGGACCTGGAGCAGCTCGGGGGTCTGTTGGCGGCGGCAAAGGTACCGGCGCCCCTCTGGGTGCCACCCGTCCGCCTCCGACCCCTCTTCCAGCTCCCGGGGCCCAGGGCAGCATCCGAGCGCCTGCGGCGTCAGCGCGTGTGCCTGGAGCACGTGCGATGCTCCCAGCCGCCGGGCTCCCAGGTGACTGGCTCGGGTCGAGTGCTCAGCTGCCCCGGATTCAGGGCAGTGGCGGTGCGTTACACCTTCACCGAGTGGCGCACCTTTCTGGACGTGCCGGCGGAGCTGCAGCCTGAGCCATCTGAGCTCCAGCCGTCTGTTCTGTCGGGGAACTCTGGACCAGGGTCAGGGGATGCTGAGGAGGAGCCAGGCACCGAGCGTTTCCATTTCTCGCTGTGCCTGCCTCCAGGCCTGCAACCCAAAGAAGGGGAGGACGCTGACGCGTGGCATGTCGCTATCAACTTTGCAGTCTGCTACCGCTGCGAGCTGGGCGAATATTGGGACAACAACAATGGAGCCAACTACACACTGCGCTATGCGCGCTCCACTGACCGCCTCTGAGTCTGGGCGCTTCCGGAGACGGTGAAGAGAGGCTAATCAAAACGCCCAGCTCCAGCCAGGACGCCCGGGACCCTTAGCAAAGTGGTATATCTAGTATTAAGGTGAGCATGAAAGGAAGGAAAGGAGCGAAGCATTGAATCATGAAGCTGTGCCCACACAGCAGCAAGCACAGTGGGTCTGGGCAATGTTCTGAACTCCCCTCGACTAAGGCTTCTCATCACTTCCACCGACTTTTCTACTTGGCTTCTAGAGTTCCCTGCCGGCATCAGAATGAAGAAACCCCTCAGGGTCCCCAAGCGGCCGCTCTCCAAGAAAAAGGCTCTCGAACCCTGAGCCCGGATCTGTGACCTCGGGGGTTTGTTTCTAACTCGAGACGTGGTGGTTTTTACCTTGATGAAAACCTGTAGGGAAAGTACAAGGTGCTCCCCCTTCATCACTGCCCACCCCCAATTCACATGGAACCTTCACATCCATGCCCGTTTCTCAGAGAAAACCAGGTGGGGGCTGGGCAGCTTGTCCTTTCAACTGGGATCTAGAAATGTCTGCCGGGCTTCATGTTTACTTCTGTGATTGGGTACAAATGCCCTTTTACTTTTAAAAAGTAAAGGCCGCATGCACACTTCCACTGTATGGTATGTTTTACCTTCTGAGAATTTGCGGGGGGCCTTGGCTGACACAACACTGTAACAAGTATAAAACAACAGTGTTCACAAGTTTCCTTCCTGCCCTGCTTCTCTTGTTGTGGAAGGGCCCAGATCCCTCATATTGGGAAGAAATGAGCTGTCCCTTGCAATAACAAAATGTCAAATGAATTAAAATGCCAGAGGCCTTGGTTGTGACCTGCAAGAGCCCATGACACGTGTCCCCATCCCTTTTGTGTAGACAGAGCACATAATAGCAGCCCCACTCTCTAGGCCATTAGCAGTCAGAGAAACTGGGCTCTTGCAGGCTGTACTCCAAGTGCAGGGCATGGGGGATAGAAAGATGGCTTGGCTTTTTCTTCCCCTCAGAGAAACAAGGAGAGGAGTGCTTTAGCAAGTGTTGCTAAGAACCAGAGAGGCACTCTGTAGGCAGGACCCTGGGCACAGGGTAAAGTCCACCTTTGCTCACATCTCCACTGCCAACATGATGTAGTCAGGCCTGAGCCAGCTGGAGGGCATCCTGGGCAAAGACTTAGTTCTTTCACACCTTGGCTATCCCTTCCTGGGTAACTTTAAAAAAATTTATTATTATTATTGTTTGGATCTTTAAAAAAAACAAACAAACCAAAAAACAAACAAAAACAGCATCTCCCTGTTGCCCCAGCTGCCCTGGAACTCACTATGTAGACCAGACTGGCCTTGAACTCACAGAGATAAGCCTGCCTCTGCCTCCCAAGTGCTGGGACTACAGGTGTGTGCCACCACACCTGGCTATTTATTATTATTAAAGGCACCCTGTTTTCAAGCGTAAGGCTAGCATAATTCATTAGTTTGGGGATGGTGGACTTTAAAGAGAGACATTTTCATGGTTTTTCTATAGATTGATCAACATACGATAGCTCACAAGCCAAACTTGGCCCGAAGTCTGTTTTTGTAGAACCAGAGACCTAGAAATGATTTTACCTATTTAGTTTATTAAAAGATTTAAATTCTGTGACATGTAAGAATTATATTTAAGCCAGATATAATAGCACACACCTGCAATCCCAGCATTCAGGAAGCTAAGATAGGATTGTCATGAGTTAGAGGCCAGCCTGAGCTACCTAGCAAGACTGACCCAAACACAAAACAAGGCTGAGTATGGTGGTTCATCCCTGTAATCCCAGAACCTTGGAGGATCAGAGTTTGTTTGAGGCCAGCAAAATGAGATCTGGACTCAAAAAACCAAGACAAAGCCAACCTAATAACAACAAAGAATTACATGGAATTCAAACTTGAGGATCCATCAAGCCATACACTCTCACTTTTACGCTCCAAGGATGCACTTATGCACCCAAGGCAGGGTTGGGATGCAGTGGAGACCATATGCAAAGGGTAAAAACATTTACTCTCTGACCCTTCCTAGAAAGCATGTCAACCCCTTGGTAATTTTTAAAATTATATGCTGAGAATTATAATTAACAAGGCAGTTAACCTTTTAGCGAATGTTGCCATGTGATATAAGCATCTTTTGGCCAAAGACAAAACTGTTTCCATCACTTCCAGTAATCCTGGTTAGAATAATTAAGATATGTAAGAATTATTAATATTACTGGTATAGAGAGGGAAGCACATCTGCTGATTTATTTCACCTAAAGAAAAAAAATCAGGGTCTGGAGAGATGGCTCAGTGGTTAAGAACACTGACTGCTATTGCAGAGGACGTGGGTTTGGTTCCCAGTACCTACATGGTGGATCACAACGTCCTTCACTCCAGTTCCAGTGGCTCCAACGCCACCTTCTTGTGGCCTTCACAGGCACTGCATGACACAGATGTATTTATGTATGTGCAGGCAAAACACTCATATACATAAAATTTAAAAATTTATTAAATGTAGAAATAGTAAAATCAATATAACTAAAATACAGACCACAGCTGAATTAGCATCAAACTATAGAATCTGCCATATTCTTTATCACTGAGCTATAGTCCCAGCTTTCTTGGTCTTTAAATTGAGTATCTTCAGTACTTATTTAATATGGGACAGGGTTCCATGTAGTGCAGGTTGGCCTCAAACTCACTATATAATCAGGGATGACCTTTAACTCCTGATCCTCCATCCCCCACCGCTCACCCTCTGGGATCACAGGTGTGTACCACCATGCCCAGACAGTTTAAACTTTTGGAGACTCTATTTTGACTATTTCAGGGTTTTCCAAGGCTGACTGATGACAGGGAAATTTTAGTAATTTATTGATAAGAAACCATTAGGAAGAAATGAACTGCAGTTTATAGCTGTAGTAAAGCAGACTCAGTGAGATGGCTCAGAGGGTAAAAGTGTTAATTTTGGAGCCTGATGACCTGAGTTCAATCCTTAGAACTTACATGATGGAAGGAGAGAACCACCTCCCACAAATTACTCTCTGATTTACACATACACACAATAAATAAATGTTTAAAAAGTTTAATGGGCACACCAATGAAGTAATGAATACTTAATACTTTCATACACTCATCCAATTTTATAGCAATAAAAATAACCATTATTAGAATGACATAATGTTTTCCTATTACTAAATACAAAAGCAATCAAGACCACTGATGGGCAGTCTCAGATCTGGTTTACCATTTATTAAAAGTGTTATTGCATAGTAACACTATATGTTATCTGTTTCTTATGTTTTTATAAGGATGTTTTAGTTGAAAACTATTGGTAGCATGTGTATTATGTAACAGTTTGAAAATGCTGACTTTTAATTATTTTAAACTAGATTGAGGGCTTAGAATGTAGCTCAATGGTAGAGCACATCCTTAGTATGTGATCAAACCCCAGCACCACTAAACACAAAGTAAAATAATTATATTTGGAGCCCAATCTACAGACCAGAATAGAGATCTCTTATCTAGTGCTTCTTAGAATGGCAACTCACTAAATCTAGAGTAAAACAGATAGGACATGAATTTTTAAGAATTATATACAGCATATTTTAAAAATATTTTTATTTTATGAGTGTATTGCCTGCATATATGTAAGTGCACTCATGTCATGCAATGCCCAGAGGTCAGTGCTGAGAACTGAACCCAGGTCCTCTGAAAGAGAAGCCAGTGCTCTTAACTGCTGAGCCATCTCGCCAGACCCATTTTC